CCGCACACAGACTGCATTTCTTTTAAACTCTCTTCCCAGATGTGGCTAATGAAGGGAATCAGGGCCCTTTCCTCCCCCGTAAGCCACGCAACCCACGTTGCTCCCTTCTCCGTTCCTCCCTGCGTGCCCTAGGATGAAGAGGGGGTGGACCTGGGTCTTCCCCTGAACTCCCTCTCCCTTGTTCTACCTCTTCCCTGCTCTGCCCAGCTGGACTTTGCCCTTCCCCAGACTCCTCCACAGCCAACAGAGCCACACTCTCACCCCGTCAGCTGTTCGTCTTCCTCCTCAGATTCAGACTCTGACAGGGGTGTGACAGACTACCTGTGGTGGGAGCAGACTTTGGGGGTGTGAAGCGATGGGCAAAGGTCCAGCAAGGGGCATGGAAACCCCACCTGCTTCCTTCTAATTGGCTTTAAGGTGCTGGAAGAGGGAGGAAGTATTTTCTTCTTTTCTGACTGCGTTCTTGTGTTCTGCGATGCGTGCATTTATTCTCCTGTTGGTTTGTCCAATGTATGTGGCTGGGCAATTGTTGCATGGTATTTCATAAACTCCTTGGTTTTCTAGCTGGATCTTGTCTTTGGGGTTTCTTAGGATGTTGGCTATTTTTTGGTCACTGCCGAAGGCTGTCCTGATATTGTGTTTGTGGAGAATTTTGCTGATATTATCTGTGGTGCCTTTGATGTAGAGGAGGAGAGCGATACCGTTGTCCTGTTCTGTGTCTCGGTTTCTGGGGGGCCGTCTCTCTTAGGATTAGGTTGGTAATTGTGCTTGTTTGGAATCCATTGGAAACCAACAGAATAAATATATATATATATATATATATATATATATATTCGCACAAGGATTAATTGTACAGATGGCATAAAATAAGGTTGAAAATAACGTCCCACAAACTGTCGAGGATGAAACTGTTTTTAATTGTTTTCTGATTTTTCTTTCTACTTTTCTTTGTTTCCTTTTTCTTTCTCACATTTATGTATGTGTTGCTTTATTTGAATTGTAAAAGTAATAAAGTTTATTTTTAAAAAAACAACCTCCAGTGTTGGAGCATCCACAGCTTCTGGAGGAAGGTTGTTCCATTAATTCATTGTTGTGTGAGGAAATTCCTCCTTAGTTCTAAGTTGCTTTTCTCGATTGATTTCCATCCGTTGCTTCTTATTCTTCATTCTGGTGCTTTGGTGAATAGCTTGACTCCCTCTTCTTTGGGGCAGCCCCTGAGATATTGGGAGACTACTATCATGTCATGCTTTTCATTAAACTAGACATACCAGTCAGGTTAGGCTCCACTCCTTTGTGCAAAAAGCCGTGTATCAATTGCATGGATGTGGCCACCATCTTAAAAAAATAAAATACTGACTCATATATATAATGGTTGCTGTCTTCCTTGGGGTGGGTTACATGATCCCCTATTTGCGACCTCCAGGCAAGCAATGGGGAAACCCATTCCCTTAACAGCTGTGATCCTAACCGAACAACTGCGGTGATTCACTTAACAACTGTGGCAAAAGAAAGGTCATAAAATGGGTTTCAGGTTACTTTTAACAACTGCCTTGCTTAGCAGTGGAAGGACCATGCCTTTGGAAGTTGTGGGAGCTTCATCCCTGGAAGCTTTCAAGAAGAGACAGGATGGCCAGCTGTCAAGAAATGATATAGCACAGTGGTGGCTAACCTTTTTGGGGGTCCTGTGCCAAAAATTGTGTGCCCGCTTGCACACTCGTGCTCATGTGCCAGCACCCAGAAGGCAATGCGGGGCCCCACACACCCCCTATGAATGTGCCCCCCTCATGCCCCCTACGCATGCGCATGCAATCCCCACCCCCCCACCCCCTTACCTGCACTCACAGCTGATTTTCCGCTAGTTTGACGCCTTTTTTGGCTTCCCAGAGGCTTGAGGAAGGCGTCTGCAGGCTTCTGCAGGCTTTGCAGGCTGAAAAACCAGCTCCGTTTCTCATCACTTCTGGTATTGTCGGAAAAACAGGAAGTGATGAAACGGGGCTAGTTTTCGGCCTGCAAAGCCCGCAGAAGCCTTCCTCAAGCCTTTGGGAGGCCAAAAAAGGCCTCAAACCAGCCGAATATCAACTGTGAGGCACGCGCATGCACGTGAGGTGACTTTGCCCGCAGCTCGTGTGCCAGCACAAATGGCTCTGCGTGCCACCTGCGGCATGCGTGCCCTAGGTTCACCATCACGGGTATAGCACCTTCTGCTTGAGCAGGGGGTTGGACTAGATGACCTGCAAGATCCCTTCCAACTCTGTTATTCTGACTATCTGACTCTTTTAAACCGCCTCCTCACCCAACAGATGCCTCTAGTTGTGTAGACACACACCCCAAGAAAGGCACAAAGGTAGCCTTACCTTTTAATAAAATTCTGGGCCTGACGCTTCTGCATTTTCCTGATCTGGGAGAGATGACTTCCTATTCCTCTTGCAATTCCGGCTTCTGGTCTTGCAACCTGGTCTTTAAAGTAACACAAGGGTCAATTGATGGTGGTGGGGAAAGCGCTGTCCCTTTATTTCTTAGGAAGGTTTGGAATTTGAAAACTTGAGCAGATTGTTCTAGATTTTAGTCAATGTTTTTCCACCCCGGGGACCTTGAAGATGGGTGGACTTCAACTCCCAGAATTCCCCAACCAGCTGAGTTGAAGTCCACCCATCTTCGAGGTCCCCGGGGTGGAAAAATATAGTTCGAAGCCTTGAAAGCTATTCAGAAAAATGTACAAAAGAGCAGAGGGGCGGGATTCAAAAAGCCCAGCAACCGGTTCGTTGCCCGCTTGCTGGATGGGTGTGGCCACGGTGGGCGTGGCCTACCAGAACTTCCTGTTTCCGGCTTCCCCTGGGCCTCTGGGAGGGCGCTACTATTACTATCAATCTTCTCATCCCTCCTTATCAACCAATCCCCTCCCACTTGTGACTGTATGACTTAACTTGCTTGCATCCTTATGGTTTATATTGTCTGTTTCCTAGATGATTTGATTGCTTATTGTACCCTATGGCTATTATTAAGTGTTGCACCTGATGATTCTTGACTCTTGATGAATGTATCTTTTATTTTATGTACACTGAGAGCATTTGCACCAAGACAAATTCCTTGTGTGTCCAATCACACTTAGCCAATAAAGAATTCTATTCTATTCATTTCTATTTTATTCTATTCTCCAATATCTATTTTAATCTATTCTAATTCTAATTTCTATTCTATTCTAATTTCTATTCTATTCTAATTTCTATTCTATTCTAATTTCTATTCTATTCTAATTTCTGTTCTATTCTATTCTATTCTCCAATAACTATTTTATTCCATTCTATTTTAATTCTAATTTCTATTCTATTCTAATTTCTACTCTATTCTCCAATATCTATTTTATTCTATTCTATTCTTATTCTAATTTCTATTCTATTCTATTTTAGTGAAATCTGGGAGAATATACAGGGAGGTCAGAAAAATCAAAACTTTTGGGTTGGGTAAAAAAGTACCGCTGCATTCACACAGCACGTTAAACTTGGTTACTATTAAACTTGGTCAGTCACAGGCCACACAACCATTCCCACCCCCACCACCCCCGCTCCCCAAAATTCACCAGGGGAGGAGGCCCAGCGGATACCTTGAGCGTCCAGGTGCCCTTGCGGGGAGAAGAAATACCCATAAATTCGTTCCACAAACCGGGGAACGGAATGTGCGAAGAAGGAAAAGTCGATCTGGGTACGGAAGAACGCTTCGGCCTGGCGCAGGAAATCCAGCAGGGTCTGGAGGTAGGAACGAAGTTCTGGGGAGAGAGCATGGTTAGGCTGGTAAAATACAGGTAGTCTTTGATTTACAGCAGTTTGTTCAGTGACTGTTTGAAGTTACGACGGCACTGAAAAATGTGACATGACCATTTTTCACACTTCCCTTCCTTTCCCCTTCTCCTTTCCCTTCCCGCTTTTTCCTTCCCTTCCATTCTCTTCCCTTCTATGCTTCATAACTTGTTTTTTTTTTTTTAAACCTAAAAGCCAAGGATGGAATAAGGTGGATTTTTTTCCTCCTCATCTCCTTCTGTTGTCATCCCATCCTTATTAAGAAAAATGAAAGCGTCTATTCCTTGCAGTCGAAATGAGGGATTCTTGCCTTATTCAGACTAATACTATTAAAATCAGCCAATTTTAAAAAAGAGGCTAAATAGCAGAGAAACGTCGAAAAATAGCAGCATGTCTGATCCGGGTGTTTCAGAGAGGCTTGGGGAAAAAAAAGGACAGCGTGTAGCATTTATGCGGAAATTAACTTATTATCCAAAACCCTTACATAGAAAGCGGCTAATGCATTTTGTGCAGAATCACTCAATTTCCCTAACACACCGAGATGATAAATGTAAGAATAAACGTCGCGTACAAAACTCATTATCTTCTCATTTTGCTGAGCGTAAATTACCACCCAGAAAATCACGCTTTCACCGCGTAGAAAAGGGAAAACAAACCTGTACAGTAGAAGAAAGGGAAGTTAGTCCTAAAAAAGAAATATTTGAACCGTTTCCTGTAATCCTCCTTTCCCCAATCGTGGAATCGAAGCCATGTAAGCTCAAAGAAAAAGTGAGGTTTTAATCACATGCTTGCACCCATCATCTTTATCTCCCTTGTGGATGGCCAGTCCCAGATCCCAGGCAGGACTAGATGACCTTAAGGTCTCCAATTCTATGATCACAGATAGTCTTTGGCTTTTTTTTTTTTTTTTTTGGCATTCAAGCCAAAAGCACTGAAGCTTCCAGGTCAGAAGCACTGAGGATACTGGGTTGATAACAGATAACAGATAATCAGAGTTGGAAGGGACTTGGTAGGTCATCTAGTCCAACCCCCTGCCCAAGCAGGAGACCCTACACCAGTTCAGACAGATGGCAGCCCAATCTCTTCTTGAAAGTCTCAAGTGATGGCGCTCCCACAACTTCCAAGGGCAACTTCTGTTCCATTGATTGATTCTTCTCCCTGTCAGAAAGTTTCTCCTTATTTCCAGATTGAATCTCTCCTTGTTCAGTTTCCATCCATTATTCCTTGTCTGGCCTTCAGGTGCTTTAGAAAATAGCTTGACCCTTTCTTCCCTGTGGCAGCCCCTCAAATTTAGGAGGACTTCTATCATGTCTCCCCTGGTCCTTCTCTTCACTAGACTAGCCAAGCCTAGTTCTTGAAACTGTTCTTCATATGTTTTAGTCTCCAGTCCCCCAATCCTCCTGGTTGCTCTTCTCTGCACTTTTTCTAGAGTCTCAACATCTTTTTTATAGTGTGGTGACCCAAACTGGATGCAGTACTCTAGGTGTGGCCTTACTAAGGTGATACTAGAGTGGTATTAGTACCTCACTTGATCTTGATTCTGTCCCTCTGTTAATGCAGCTTAGGATTGCATTGGCTTTTTTGACTGCTGCTGCACACGACTGGCTCCTATTTAGCTGGTTGTCCACTAAGACTCCAAGATCCCTCTCACAGTTCCTGCTGGGTTGAAAGGATTAGTTGGTGAGGTCACCCTTGGGATGCCCAGTTGGGGGGCTCCTTCCATGTCCCCAGCAGAAGCTAGAGAGAAGGATGTGAGCTCGACCCAGCCCCATGGCAGCTCTTGGGTCTTGAATGAGGGCTTGCTAGCCTCCTGCCCAGGGTTCCAAACACTTGAACCGCTATGCTTCTTGCTAGTCCTTGACTAAAAAACGGTCGACAAATGGGGCGGTGTAGCAGATGACCAGGCTGAGCCCGAGGGAGGAGCTCAAATGTGTCGTAAGCCACGAGTCCCTGCTCACTTGCAAGAGATCTAAATCCAGCCCGCCTCGAATTCCTTCCTTATCTCCCGCTCATTTCCCTTGATTGTTAGTTGGTCAGATTCTTGGGTTAAGGTCAAGCGCCGGGGAAATCAGGAGATTGAAGCAGCTCAAATGAAGATTGCATAAAGATTTATTGCAACTCTCTACCACAGGGGGGTGTCAAACTCAATTTCACTGAGGGCCACATCAGGGCTGTGGATGTCCTCGGGGGTCCGGGTAGCCATGGCCGACTGAGTGGGGCGTGGGCAGTTTGAAGCCATTCCCCAAACTGCTGGCATGTTTCCTCTTCGCATTGGGTAAACCGGGCCAAAGCCACACTGGGCCGATCTTTCCTCTTCATATTGGGTACACCAGGATGGTCCCGCAGGCTGGATCCGATCACATTGCAGGGCGCATCTGGCCTGCGGGCCTTGAGTTTGACACCCCTGCTCTACAAGAATCTGACCAACTAACAGTCAAGGGAAATGAGCGGGAGATAAGAAAGGAATTTAAGGTGGGCTGGATGTATATCTCTTGTGGACACGCAGGGACTTGTGACTTATGATATATTTGACCCCTCCCTCAGGCTCAATCTTATCTCCTACAGGTTGGTCAACATAAGTGACTCATTTTATGACCATCATGACGCCCGACCAATGAGCAGGCAATCCTCGACTTACAACCATTCGTTTAGGGACCGTCCCAAATTACAACAGCACCGAAAATAGTGACTTGCGATGTGTTTTCACACTTAACAACCATGACAGCACCTCCACAGTCATGTGATCAAAATCTGGGCACTTGGCAATCGGCGTGTTTTTATGATGGCTGCACTGTCCCAGGGTCACGTGATGTGATGACCCAGAGGGGCATGGCACAAAAGCAACACAGTCACATAAGTAAAAAGAGTCCCTTTAACTTTGCCCCCAATGTCCAGGTTACCTTCGGCTGGAGAAAAACTCTCCCAGGAACCAGTCCGAAACAAAGTACCTACAAACTGTAAGTAAAAATCCACACAAACCACACTGCAGCAATTAACTGGACAGATCAGGATAAGGAATTGCAGACTTGAAAGGCCAACAAAACAAACACAGTTGGGAAGATGCCAGGAACCCGGATAAGCCTCGACAATAACAGATAATTCATGATTTGCTGTCGACAAGTTGCTGTGCGCAACCTCCCTTTTAAAACACCATGTTCCCAGTTGCAGCTAATTAAGGGAATCAGGACCCTTTCCTCCCCCATAAGCCATGCAACTCCCGTTGCTCCCTTCTCCATTCCTCCCTGCATGCCCTAGGATGAAGAGGCGGTGGGCCTGGGTCTTCCTCTGAACTCCCTCTGCTTTGTTCTACCTCTCCCCTGCTCTGCCCAGCCGGACTTTGCTCTTCCTCAGTTTCTTCCACAGCCAACCGAGCCACACTCCCACTCCCTGTCAGCTGCTCGGCCTCCGCCTCAGAATCAGATTCTGACAGGGGCATGACACATGACCATCATTTGTCACCTTCCCAGCCAGGTTCCGACAAGCATAGTCAGCAAGGGAAGCCAGATTTGTTTAACGACCGGATGAGTCAACCTTGAGCCTGCAGTCAACCGAACAACTGCAGTGACTTGCTTAACCCAATGTGGCAAGCAAGCTTGTAAAATAGAGCAAAACGCTCTTTAACAATTATTTTGAGTTAGCAATGGAAAATTTGGACCCAAGTGTGGTCCTTAAGTCAAGGACTACCTGTGCAAGTTTCTTCAGGGCGCACGCATCACTTACCACATTGCTGTCTCTTCCCCTTGCACTTCTCCTCAGCAGCCTGTGCACAAGCTGCTGGGCTGGACGACCAGGCACAAGGCTGCGCATAGAAGGCGCATAAGTGACGGACTTCCGCCAGCTGTTTGTCTCTCGGCTTCCGAACAGCAGCCAGCCATTCTGAACAGCTGGGCTCCCGGCTGGAGGGAGATCCTGCATGGGAGGAGAACAGAGGGAGGGGCAGAAAATTTCCCCATTAGCTGTTCTTGAGCAACAGGCAAGAACTCACCATTTCATGAGAATGTGGCTGCAAGATTTGGTTAATAGCAATAGCACAGTGGTGGCTAACTTTATTGGGCTCCTGTGCCAAAAATTGTGCACATGCTTGCACACTCGCGCTCGCGTGCCAGCACCCAGAAGGCAATGCACGCCTACCCATGCCCCCTACACATATGCGCACAATCCCTACCCACTCACCCACCCCTGCCACCCCCTTACCTGCACTGTGCCTCACAGCCGATTTTCCGCTAGTTTGAGGCCTTTTTCGGCCTCCCAGAGGCTTGAGGAAGGCTTCTGAAGGCTTTGCAGGCCGAAAAGTAGCCCCGTTTTATCACTTCCGGTATTGTCGGAAAACAGGAAGTGACAAAATGGGCCTAGCTTTCAGCCTGCAAAGCCTGCAGAAGCCTTCCTCAAGCCTCTGGGAGGCCGAGAAAGGCCTCAAACCCGCTGAAAATCAGCTTTGAGGCACGCGCATGCGCAGTGTGGTAAGTTTGCCTGCAGCTCGCATGCCGGCACAAATGGCTCTGCGTGCCACCTGTGGTATGCGTGCCATAGGTTCGCCATCACAGCAATAGCACTTAAGATTTGTATACCGCTTTATGGTGCTTTTACAGCCAGGGGTGGGATTCAAAAATCCCAGCAACCGGTTCGCTGCCCAGTTGCTGGGTGGGCGTGGCCATGGTGGGTGTGGCCTATCAGAACTTCCAGAAGGGTTGTTTTTCGCCTTCTCCAGACTCCGGAGGCTTCCCTCAGGCCTCTGGGAGGGTGAAAATGGCCTCCCCCGGGCTCTGAAGGCCCTCCGGAAGCCGAGAACAGGCCTGTTTCTGGACTTCCGGTACAAAAGTCCGTTTCCTCCCCTCCCAGAGCCTCCACTGCACTTACCCGCATTGAAAATGGGTCATGTGGAGACTCTTGGGAGGAGGCGGCAGAGGGGGCGGGGCCAGCTGGTCGGTTCAAATACCGGTTCGGTGAACCAGATGCAAATTTAACATCCAGTTTGCCTGAACCAGTCGAATCCCACCCCGTCAGCCTCTTGCCCCCAAACCATCTGGGTCCTCGCTTTACCGACCTCGGAAGGATGGAAGGCTGAGTCAACCTTGAGCCTGGTGGGATTTGAACTGCCCCAATTGCAGGCAGCTGGCAAGTCAGGATCGAACTCCTGGCAGTGGGAAGAGTCAGCCTGCCATACTACATTCTAAAAAGCACTGCCCCACCATGGATCGTGGGTTTGGCTAAACTAGGTTTGGGCATTTTGCAAGCCGCTCTTGTCAAGTTTAAGACAGGCGGACTTCAACTCCCAGAATTCCCCAGCCAGCCCTATCTCACAAAATGAAATCCAACGGTGGGAGAAAAAAAATAAGATTTTTACACTTAGGCAAGAAAAAACGAATGCACGGATACAGAACAGGTGGTGCCTGACTCAGTAGCAGTAACTGTGAGAGGGGCTTTGTGAATCCTAGCGAACAATCCCTTAAATAGGAGCCAGCCGTGTGCAGCAGCTGCCGAAAAAAGCCAACGCGGTTCTAGGCTGCATTAACAGAGGGATCGAGTCGAGATCACACGGAGCGTTCATATCACTTTATAAGACCTTGGCAAGGCCACACTTGGGATACTATGCCCGGTTTTGGACACCACAAATGTAAAAAGAGATGCTGAGACTCCGGAAAGAGTGCAAAAAAAAAAAAAGAAGAAGCAACAAAGATGATCAGGCGACTGGAGGCTAAAATATGAAGAACGTTTGCGGGAATTAGGCACGTCTAGTTTAATGAAAAGAAGGACTAGGGGTGACATTTGATTTATTTATTTGATTTACTTATTTATCCGATTTGTCAATCGCTTACAAGATAATAGGTATAAGTATAAACATGAGTAGGAATACAGGAAATAGGCGCGAATAAATGGGGACAATAGGACAGGGACGGGAGGCACGATGGTCACTTATGCACACCCCCTACAGACCTCTTAGGAATGGGAATTCTCTCCTTTCCTTTCCTTCCTTCCTTCCTCCTGCTCCCTCCCTTTTTTGTCTCCTCCCTCCATTCTTTTCTCTCCTTCCTTCCTTCCTTCCTTCCTTCCTTCCTCCCACTCCCTCCCTTCTTTTCTCTCCTCCCTCCCTTCTTTTCCCTCCCTCCT